CCAGTAACTACATGCCATTGAAAATGGACAAAGTGTTACTTAAAATATGATGAAAGTAATATATTTTCTTTATCCTGAACGGCGTGCGCGGTCTCTGTTTATTACTTTCTTCCCAGCACTGGATACAAGCTAACTAATGGAGGGAGAAGATCAGTTTTCCCTTTCTAACACACCATAACCATTATGTTCGCGATTACAGCACGTTCCTGTTTACTCCACTCTCCCCTAAACTAGTAGATTGTCGGATGTCACCGTGACATTCCAATAAATTTTAATCTCTTCTACGCAGATTGAACTAGTTGCTTTGCAAAATTACACATTTGCGACTTTTTGTTAATCTAAATAATAGATTTAAGTAGCTCATGTTTCGAGATTTAAAAAGCAAGTATGTAATTATACTTCTCATAGAATAGGCAGATTTCCGTAAGAATAACGATTCGTGGAAATTTTTAGATACCTTTTATTGAATGCAGCAGTGAATAGGCTGAAATTTCCAGATTTATTAAATGATTGCATCATAAATCCTGAATATTTTCACGTTTTTCTTTCGTGGAAAGATGTTATAACCTATGAAACCGAATCGTTTTTACAATGAGAACCGTGACTTAATTCGAATGGAATGTTGACGTGTTTCAAGGTGTTATCGTTTCAACAATCATCGTTGGATTTCGTGGATTTTAATGACTGAAAGTATTGTCGTCTTGCTAACTACTGACAAATCACGCAGTATGTGCGATAAACATAGGAATCCTTTGCAATGAACAGGCGATTATCTCTTCTCGACAAAATACTCATCGATAGCTTGCAAACCTCTTCACTAATCAGTAAGTTAAATACTTTAACTTATAGTTTTTAGAATTACTTCATTCTTCAGATTTGTAGTACGGAATGGTTTTTTTAAATTTAACAGGAGACACGAAGATCTGAGCTTTCTCTCAAGAAATCAGAACTAAAATCCAGTTAATGCCACTTGTCGATAAGAAACCAATTATAGAACCTAGAAAATTGTTGTCGACCTATTAGGAAAAAACGATAATATTGATAAAGCAATTAAAATTATTATTATTTGTAAATTTTTAGGATTATTATTTGTAAATAACAGGATAATGGTTTATAGCAGCGGCTATTATTTTATAATAAAACTCCAATTTAACTATTCAACTTCCCGTAATAATGTACGCGTTTATTTCTCGGCCGTTTCATTTCAATAGCGTACCTTTTTAATCTTTTCGACGCCCTACAATAAACGAAGGTTCCAACATTTGGTCGGCAGCCGGTCCCGGTCGTGTCGTACCACCGAGGCGAAGAACAATATCGCCATAAACTTGTACCGTTAGGTGACTCCCGCAACCTCGGCGCGGTCAAGACAAACTTGGCCACGTGATTTTAATTATTTGCAGGCGTACGTTTTTTCCTAAAGGAACCTTTTCCACCACCACGGACCTGGGAAAATCCGAGGTTTATCCCTACTCCTTCAGAGTTGATCCAATAGGAATTCGTAACTTGCGAAAACGGTAATTGAGAAAGCACATCGCCAACGAGGGTGAAGCGCGACGTCAGAAGGGCACCTAAACATTTTGTAAATATCAGACTCAAACCAGAACTCACCCGGTGAACATCACACACACACACACGCACACAAACACACAATTTTGTAAATACAGTCATTAAGAACCAATCAAAGTGTGCTTTATTTTCTGTTTTAATTCTAAAGTTCGTGTAACGGTTCGGCGATTAAGTGCGAGCATTGCACGACCTAACAATAATATATCAAATAATAATTTTATTCTGAGTCAATAGTAAATTAACAATTTGTCAGTCTGTTTTATTGTGTGTTTCTATCATCTTCAAAAGCTTTAAATTACTCCTTTTTTCCTAACAAAATGACATTCAACTTAACTTTCCATACGGATAATAGAATGTAAGTATTCTAAAAGAAGACTTTTGAAATCTAAATAACTACGTTCTAATGAATTAACAACGTGAATTTTGAAATTGCACCGCTTACAGCATTAAACGATACATTTCAAAATATTATTCGATACAATTGCCTTCAATAAGAAATACCACTATACATATACATGTACTATAGTTTAATAAAAAGAATGCGTATCTCTTACAGAGCTTTAAAAATATGAATGACAAAGTATTTGAAACGGTTGGTTATTTAACCCTTACCTGGTCAGGTAGAAATCTGACTTATATGTATATTACATAAATTTTATTATGCACAAATCTTATTACTTCTTACACAACTAGTTGTTTTGCATTCTCATGTAAGAAAATATCGAAATAAAGAAACATCTTTTTGTAACTACCTAATAAAAATAAAATATTCTAAAAATATTCATGTGGTTTCTCAAACTCCACCTTAACAGTTAGGGGTTAAAGTAATTCTTTTTATTTCACGTTTAAAACAATTCGGGTCCAGCCAATTACAATTTTGTGTGGAGTGAGACTGTAGGTTTTTATACTAAACTACCGACAACCGAGACATTGAAAGTGGAAGATAAACACTTCTGTCTGTACATTTAGGGAGGTATACGGCTCCAAATCTAATTCCTTGCGTATCTCGCAACTGGTACAGTCTAATGAACCAAGGCTGAAGGACCTGTCAAGCGGATGACTTTCAAGATCTAGTTTCTTAGCCAGTGTTTGTAGAAATTCAGCGGAAGCCTAAACATACAGTCAGACACACAAAATCACTCGATCAGTGGTTTATTCGTGATTTAAGCGGATAAGTGTAGCATACCTCTGTAAATATTGTTACGTGTTACCCGATAGGTAGCACGTATTGTATAATGTTAAAAAGCGAGAGACTTCAGGTTAGCAACGTCGTTTTGGTAACAATGCCAAAACAGAGACAGAGCAGAGTCGTGATACGACTATAGAATAGAAAAGACGTGTTAATATAAGTACTCCTCCTCTCCAAATATATAATTCGTCTATTTTATTAATATTGCCTTTATTTATTCGGAAGTTATGCCGCGTCCACGCAACAATATTTTAGAATTATACTAGAGCAGCTCCTATATGAATCACATTTAATTTGAAGGAATAAGTAAATAAATTAGAGTAGAGCCTCTCGTATTGGAACACCTATTATCCAAATACTCTAATATTCAATTGTTCTACTATCTGAACGTTCTCTTATTTGAACAGAGTGTTGCCCAGCATCAGATGCCATCTGCAATTGCAAATATGTAATGTGTATACGTACAATGTATACTTTCTTCTGTTCGATTGAATTCTACTCATTGTCAGTAGTAGTTGACATGTTGAAAATGTGTTGTAATTTAAACGCCAAAAAGATACGGGATCCATACATTTTTTGAGATATTGTCAATTTTCTTGATCTTGATTTGAATAAATGATGGGTGGCTCTGCTGTATTTTGTACTATCATTAGGTGTATGTAAAAAGTAGTGGCTCCTTTTTCCGTGGAAGACTGTTATCAAGAATGAACTATCGTTATAATACACCCTATCAAGTAAAATGTGGCAGTCATAAATTTGGCTGTATATGTATAGTGGGTACTTAAAATTGCTGAAATAACGACATATCCAACGAAATGTCTTAATTTAAATCCCGTTGAACACTTATTGAATGGCATGGAAAGATTAAAGAACAGCAGAAAGCGTTGAAGTAGAATATTATTGAAATTCGACGGTCTATACATGCAAACGTCACTCACCTGGTCTTGTGTACTCTACAGGGTGTTAATAAAAATGTGGAATACTTGCACAGGGTGGATTCTGCACGCCATTCTAAGGCGGAAATGATGAATCACGAAATTGTGTATGAGGCTTCGTTTTCGAGTTATTCATTGTTGAAAATGCGAACGAAATACGCATGAAATACGTCTAGCGCGATGGATTATACTATGTACTTACAACAGTCGATTCCCGGCTGATACATAATATCGATCGATGGCCTATTGGCATTGGCTTACAAGGGATCATCCCAAACCCGGAACTTCAAAAAATTCTGAAACTTTGTGAATATGTAGGGGATTTCCTGCCGATTACAGAGCGCAATTTTTGTTTGCTGTCCAAATTAACTCTCAGGGGGTGAAATTAGCCCCTGAAAATTCGGTTATTTTCCGATTTTGTGTTATAACTCTCGAAGTGTAAGAAATAGAAAAAAAGTTTCAAAACAGAAGTTACTTCTTTTAATTAGATCTATCAAATGATGAGATATTATTGCTATTTTTGTTTTTAACGTTTTTCTAATTGTTTGAACAATTCATAAATCTTCTACCGTTTGATAGGTCTAATTAAAAGAAGTAACTTTTGTCTTGAAGCATCTTTTCGCGCTGCGCGTTCATGAGTCAGTCAGTACTTCTACTTTCATATACATATAGAGATAATATATATACATTTCTTTTTCTGTTTTTATTTTCTTGTTTTACAATTCAATTCAAAAATTGTATTTAAAAAATAATTATGCCAAATCTCAAAATCCACGCGAGCGAAGTCGCGGGCAAAAAGCTAGTTGTAAATAATTTTGTAAGGAATAATGTGCCGTTTCCGGATAATCGGATAAATAGTTTCGGAGATCTGTTGGGTGCCAACTGACAAGGTCTTCTCATACATGACGATAGACAATGTTGTATAACCCTCCATTTTGTAAATTTAAATAATAACTAGTATGCAAAATTGAGTAAAAATATTGCCTAACATCCCTTCAAAAGATCCTAATATTTTACTGAATAATTACCCGATGCGACAGAAATGTTAAGTTTCTTCATTTCTTTAGGTCTACAATGTAATGTACCCTGTTAACTCGTTAAGTAGACAATTTCTCGTGCTTTAGCAACACGTGTTTAATCGCAATTCAACACGAGTAAAAATCCTTTTGCGTATCCTGCCGTATAACAAACGCGAACATATAGACGCCTTCTAAACTTATCCCGTTCGATAACTTATCCCGTGCTCGAATGATAACGATACGCGAGTTCCCGTTTATTTTTACCGTCGAGCGCCGCTTATAAAGGGGGCAGCGTGATTCCGTCCCGTGTAATTCAAATCATGAAGAGCACCGGCTGCATCGTCATATTACTGTTCGCGACGCTGGTCCTAGCGTCGGCCGAGGTCCGGAATAAAGGATGGTGGAAGAACATGGTTTTCTATCAAATTTATCCACGGAGCTTCATGGACTCTGACGGGGATGGCATTGGGGATCTGAAAGGTAGGGAACCAAGGATATATTCCGGTGACAGGAAAAACGTTTCGTTGAGTATTCGAATTATCTTCATGATTTCCTCGGCTCCTCCCGTAAAGGTAGACGCACAGTGCTATAACACCTTTGACTGCCACATGTTACCCAATTAGCAGTGACACGTACTCTCACGAGCAAATTCGGCTTCCGCTAGGGGAAAAAGTGATGTAAGGGAAAGACCTCCTACCACTTGGTCTCGGAGTTATTGAAACTTATGCGAAATTAACATTCGGTTTAACATTTATTTCAGTATTTGTAGGAAATTTACCAAGTAGTAGAAGGCCCTAACCCCTAGATTGCTTTTTCCCCTAGTGGAAGCCGAGTTTGCTCGCGGATGTACATCGCAGAGAGGCTAGATTATTTAACCCTTTAACGCCTAGGGTTGCACCAGTGCAACACTTACTTTAAAAGTGCGTAAAATTCTGTCGATGGTTAATATCTAACTTTTGTCAGCAAGGACCCGTAGTTTCACCGATCTGAAGTAGATCTCCACGGTTTCAGTTGAGAAATTCGAGTATTCCCTCCAAAAGTACAAAAAGAGGGAAAAATATATGTCTGTTTAATATCAATATTTTCGACTCCAAAATAACAAGACACAACATATATGTCAGTCTTGTAATATTGAAATAACGATTTAAGGATCTGGGTGTTAATGGGTTTAATACCGTTATGAAATGTTGTGTCGAATTAATAACACAGTAAAATCGAAAACAAGACCAATAGCCTCTATTAACAGAGCGCATGTATTTTCAATGGTTTATTACTTTAAAAGACGGAATAAAGTGTGTCTGGCTACGTGCGTCCTTCTTCCTGTGACAGTAAACGTGTTAAAACAGCCGTCTGACTGTGCAAAACCTATAATATTGATCATTTTCTATTACTTAATTCTTGGCATCGTTAACGTCCTAAATTTTTAAAAATCCTTAACTAGAATATTATTTACCTACCAAAAACCTTTTGAAAAGGATAATATGTGCAGAGAAATCTAATGTCTACCGTCTTTTGGAATACCATTTGGGACGGCTGATGTTTCTTCATCTTGTACAGAGTGATATTAAAACAGTGAATTACATTCCCCGTCGTGGATTTTGTACAGGAAGGTACATGTACATATGTACGTACATAAAATGTCGCGACGGGATGATAGCAATTAGGCGAACCAGGGAATGAAAAACGTGAAAGAGAAATTGAAATTGTTATTATATGCTGCGAAATGTGGAGTACAATTGATCCCAAGAGACAGTACAGATTCAGAGATTGTACGATAGATTAGATACCTGCATTCGTTGATTCACTAGTGCGAGAAATTAGACTCGAGGCTATATGACTGTGTGGTATTTCCATTTGTGATTATGCGATCTTGTGATTTAGTCAGTAGTTGTATCAGTTTGTCAAAAGTTACTGTTGTTTTGAAAACCGTTACAATTACAATATTACGTTACAAAAAACAATTCTTCGATTTTCATAGTCGGGATATTTTCATCGTTTCTTTTACGTGTTTCGATTTGAACATAAAAGAAATTATAATATTTGTTATATTGTATTTATGCTATTGTACTTCATTTTATTGGATTATGACAGCTAGTCTTGAAGTAATTTTTGGATTCTATGAAAATGCTGTTGTTGAATTATCAGTCGCATACCACCTTAAACAATTTCAATGTGAAAACTTCTGAATTTTTCACGAAATAATAATCTTTGCATACACTTTTCACACTTACAGTTCTGACATTACGTACGAGGAGTAAAGATGCGAATGCACTAATAATGTATAATTACTCTACAGACATCCTGTTTCCTCTCTTTGATGTCAGTTATATAATAGACAATAGTTACGAGAATCGCTTTTTAATCTACGAAGAGTGTCGGTCATAGTTTGCTCGATTTTTAACTTTATATTTTCAATGTCGAGATTAGTGTCTCTGACTCACCTGAAGTCTCAATGTTTTGCCATTCGAAGCTTCTTATCTATTTATCTATTCGGGATGCTATTAGTTTCACAAGTGTTGATCTAATAACTGCAAGTGCTGTTAGTTTTCATTAGATCTGATAATTTCACGAGTCTTTGAGGAATATTGCTAAACAATCGTATGTACACATCGTTAAACAATTAATTTTACAGACAGTTACTTACGTAGACTGGCGTCGATCGTTTCATTTTTGTACTTGACGACTTACCTGTAATAAAAGAATAAATACATTTATTAAAACACTTGCACTATTCTCGTACAGCGAGATGCTTACGATAGAACAAGCACACAGTTGAAAATGGATAATCAAATTACAGTATTAGTTATCTGGTTCATGCGTATGGAACATTCTCTTCTATTGTAATCAAATAACCCATACTTATTGATACATACGTAATGTTACACTGCTTCAACATAATTTACATTAACAGCAGAAGAATTTGTGTAAAATCACCAATGGATACCTTGTTTCAATGTGTTAAATATAGCCTTTCATAAAATTAATGGTGGTTTTCGTGAACCGTGTATATATTTATATAAAATCTATTGGTAATTGTACATAACGGTTTTTAAGTCGTCTAAATAAAGAATCGAAAGATTGTGAAAGCAAAATTGAGCATACGACGCTCAGAGCCTGTATTTCACTTTGTACTTCGGTTTCGAGAATCGGTATATGGTAATCGATAATATCGCGAGCGGTTCTACATAGCAACTATCAGTAAGTTTCGACAGATTGGAAAAAGTTGGAGACCACTTTGCATGTCCTTCGTGCATGGCAACGTTTAAATTGTTTTTTGAGCAATGATATTGCAAAATGAGAAAGTAGAAAAATATATGGTATTTATTTAACAAGAGTAAAAGTACAATAATATTACAATTACATAATAACAAATAAAGAATGAACAGAAATAAACATTAAATAATTATATTAATACATATTTTGTTTATTCTTTACGTTTTATTACGTAATTATAATACTATATTTCTTTTATTCTTGTTAAATAAGTACCATACATTTTTCTACCTTATTGTTTTCCAATTCATTGATCGAAAAACAATTTTTTTCAATTCATGCTTCGGGCAAAAATAAACCAAAAACGGGAAATAATTCTTTTCGTGCGAGGCTGGTTATTCGAGGAAGCAAATACATACTAATTGTAAATAGATACGTGGAAAGAGCAAGTAATGGTCGGATACGTTACCCCAGTCCAATTTAAAGGCAACGAATAACTGACTACTGGTAAAGTTCAAATTTCTCGACAATAAAACAATTATTGCATTGCAATATTATAGTACAATTACTTTGGATGCTTGTCTATACCCGGTTGTGCCACAATTGTGGTCATCTTCTTTATTACTAGTCATGTTTATCATATTGGAGCACTGACGACGAAAAACGAAACCGAATTTTGTTACTTAACAAGTGTCTCCTTCTTAAGTAATTGATTTTTATAAATCGAGCAATGATTTTTGTTTGCGATAGGCATAACGAGCAAGCTGCAGCATTTTAAGGACAGCGGAGTAGGAGCGATCTGGCTGTCACCAATTAATAAAAGCCCTATGGTCGATAATGGTTACGATATATCGGATTTCAAGGATATTGATAAAACATTCGGCAAATTGTCCGATTTCGATGATCTTATAAAAAAAGCCAAAGAACTCGGTTTGAAGGTAATCCATAATCCTTTATACTCATTAGTGATATTTCATATAGGTAATGTGTCATACATATTCCATATCGTACCTCGAACTAGAAAAACATCTGTTCCACAAAACGTAATTATAATTTGCGCATGAATGAAAGAACGCCAGGATAATTTCACATAATTGTTCCACTGATATTACACGCTGAACCAAACAGCATGTTGTTAAAAGTCTCGGGTTGAAATATTCGACTGGTGAGAAGTAAGTAGCCGAGCGCCATTAGTGTCTGTAGAATTATAATTTGTACAGTTTGCATAGATGGATCGAAATGATTCTCTTTAATCTGCATCACCAATAAACACAATGCAAGATTTTCTACATACAGTACCGGATAAAAAAATTACCACATATTCGATTTCTCTTACTTTTATTATTTTTTAAAATCAACTTAAAATTTCAATAAGTGTTACAAATATATAATAATAGAGCATTAAAAGCTGCATAAAACTCACTATATTTTAAGGCTTTAGAAAGGGGGTAACCTCTTTGTCCGCTACTATATGTATTTATTCTAAAATAACTGGAACAACAATAAACTTGACACGTTCAAACAACTATTAATTTCCCACAGACTTAATATTTCCTTTTCAAACTTATTTACCTTTTATCTTACTGTCGTTAAAGAACGAATTCGTTAATTTCTGATTACATTACGGTAGAACTAATGTATTCTTTAAGCACAGAAGCAAGAAAACAAAATGGGAATAGAAATATTTAATAATTCATATATATATTATCTGCTATTTCTCTATATAATAAAATTACCAATTTGTACAAACGGCTGTCACTTATTTGCTTAATCACAGCCCTAATCCATGGATCTAAATCGAGACCCTTTTATAAAGAACGGTCGAAAATTTGCATACCTTTACAAGTCCTTTATCTTAATATATCTAGGTAGATAGGATATATTGTCTATATTGTAATATTTGTGAAATACCGATTGAACTTTCTAATGTACACTACACTATTAAATATTCTGACATGGAAGAATACATTTTTATTAGCACCATTTTCTTGCCGTATTATCTAAACTTCATTTTTAACTTATCTCTTTCAAGGCATAAGCCAAGAATCATTTTCAATGTAATTTTTAGTTGTTTGTAAATATATTATATAACATGAAGCATATATATCATTTTTTTTATTCATGAACAGGTTATTCTAGATCTCGTACCTAATCATACGTCCGACGATCATTATTGGTTTCAAATGAGCGTTAAGCGTGAAGGAAAGTACGCAGATTATTACATCTGGAGCGACGGAAAGAACAACAAGAAGTCGCCACCTAATAATTGGGCCAGTGTTTTCAATAACTCAGGTTGGACGCTGCACCAGACACGAAACCAATACTATTTTCACCAATTCTATCCACAACAACCCGACCTAAATTATAACAATCCGGAGGTGCAATTAGAAATGAAGGTATAATCGCATCGTTCTCGCGAATTAAATCTCCTAATTCTTCCCAAATTTGAACTAACTGTAATCGTTGTTTATATTCTTAGATTACAATATTCTCAGATCTGAGGAACGTTTCACTTTCAATTCCATGTAAACGGAACAAAAAATTTCAAAATTAAGTTTCTCGATTTTTGAACACGACTTACGACACTGAGCGACGTTGCAATCCTTTATGCGTGTATTTTCTATACGAAATTCGCGTTGAAATTGTTCTATTTTTGTTCCAGGCGATAATGAGGTATTGGTTGGATAAGGGATTGGACGGATTCCGAATAGACGCTGTGCCGCACTTGTTTGAGACCAATCTAGACAAGGACGAACCTCCGAGTAATATACCAGGCGCTAAACCCGGGGAGCATCTTTATTTGAATCATATCTACACGAAAGACCAGCCGGAAACTTACAAATTAATACAGAGCTGGCGAGAGTTCGTGGACAAATACGCGGAGGAAAATAAACGGGATGAAATCGTAAGTTGCAACAGAACTGCTTTTGTTCTTCCTACTTGTTCGTTCAAGTCATACGTAGGTAGGTATACTTCATGGCATAACTATAAAACCACCCTACAATTTTCAATTCTTGCGTATTGTGGTTAAACTAGAAATGAACCAAGTATACCATGTATGAAATCCTGCTGAGAAAGAATGTTTCTCCAGAAAAGGATAAATTATATTCCCTAGAAAAAATTAGTTCTCTTTTTTTATCCACAATACGTATAGATTAAAAATTTTAGGGTGGTTTCATAGTTATGCCACGCAGTGTGTAAACTTTCTCAATGACATGTCCTAACTGTCTTTTTTGCTGTACTGAGTATTGTTTTTTTAACCTAAAATCTAAAGATGAAGAGAGTAATTAGAATCAGATCGATGAAATGCTGTTTAACAATGTTCAGTAAATCTTTTTACATACATATTCTGGAAGTTGATACTTCAGCGCGTCGTTTAAAAAGAACATCATTACGATTGCTTTAAATTTTCTTAAATTGACCTTTTTTTGAAAATAACTGACGAGAAGGTGTATTCTTCAGCTATTGTGCTTTTCCTTATTTCCGTTTGTTTATAATACCGACAATATGCCATAGAAAATCTTTTTTTGTTTTTGTACCGCGTTTTTCTCTTTTCGGAAATAAAAAGGAAGTGTCATTGCACGAAAGTACACCTTCCTGTCGTTCAACTTTAAAATAAGGTCAATTCAAGAAAATTTAACGCAATCGTGATGGTTTTAGTTTTTAAACGACGCGTTGAAGTGTCAACTTTTAGAATATGTATGTATTTTATTAAGTAGAACCAATGTTCTGTATTGAAAAACAAAAAACGTGTCACATACTGCAAAAATACGAAAACACTTTTTGGCCAACCATAATTTCATCACGTCGCGCGTCGTCACGCTGCAATTTTTATTACCCTAAACACATATTCACAGAGTGTCTAGTGCGATTAAGTGAGGGTATGTCATACATGACAGTGCGTTTCTCTGATTAATTGTCATTGATGGTCACCGGGCTGTCGTAATGATTTGTTTGGTATTACGATTACTAACAGCTAGCTTTTCATAAAACATTGTTGATTAGCCATTGCTATTACTTAAAATTTCTTGTACAATGCATTTGAAAATTTACTAACGCTAGTCGTGACCGATTGCCAAGGTGTTATCTGGTAGGATACACGCTGCTCAGGGATGAAAAACCATCGCAGTTATACATATTAACATTGAAAACCAAAGTTTCCAGCAATTTATATGCAAGCTTATCATTTTATCTAAGTTGTCCACTGGCTACGATACTTCTTTGAAACATAATCTTTCTGTCGATAGTAATCATGAAACAGAGATTTCTTGAAAGACACAGTAATATCTTGATAGATGTTTACCTTCTAAATGTTAAAACTAGTTCATAGAAATGTTTGCGTTAGTAATTACAGCTTAAGTCTCTAGATTCTTTACCCTTATTTTCATGAATGTATTTCAATTGTATTGGGCAAAATTATTTTGAATCTCAATGTACAAGACTCTGCATCATATTGTGATGATTAAAAGATTTTAAGCTTAATTTATCAAGTAGGAAGTATATTTCATAGCGACATCTTCTGTAGCAAGAATTAACGCAGATAGTCACTCAATAAAAAATACACATTCAATTACAATATCCTTTTGTTGTAGTTTCTAGATTTATTGTTGTAATTGATAATCTCTTTTCATTATTACTACAAGCAGGATGAAAGTTTAATATATTCCTTGTGCAATATTATTAATACATGGGGAGCTTCAGATACTTCGTTCTAATGTCGATTAAAGTAGTATACAATTTCACATAGAAAACATCGGTTGTAAAGAAATTTCTAATCAACATCACTACCACTAATTTCGACTTAATAATTTATAATACCCATTACTGATTTCATCTTGAATATGTTCGTGTGCCCATTAAACAACTTTGCGACAGCAACAGGTTTATCGATTACACAAGAATGAAGAATAGTACTAGTATGGTTTGTTAAAAATATTAACGATATTAAAGTAAAATGTTCTCCGTTCGATAATACAGGTGTTAATGACAGAAGCATATACCAGTTGGAACAACACAATAGCTTATTACAACTATGGCTCCAATGTACCATTTAATTTCAAATTTATAACCGACGCAAACTCCACCTCCACTGCCCAAAATTTCAAGAATATCACGGACTCGTGGCTGCGACTTATGCCGAAAGGTTCCACTGCGAATTGGGTGGTATGTATTTTAGTATCTACACCGCAGAATTATATTTTTAATCAAACCAAGACATAAACAGGTGGTATCGAATATGGAAATGACAAGTATTATTTTTTATGACATGCTATTTTGAACACTGTATGGCTAACGTACAGGATAAGACCTATAAAGCGTGACAATAAAGCATTTTTCTATGATGTCTGTGACGCAAAAAAATGTTATTAGACGAAGTAGACATTATAGTACTTTGTTGGTTAATTTGCTACATTGTAGATTAAAGTGTCAGAGAGACTTTATGGTCACTATCATTATTTTCTACTGGAACTGTATATTCACCACTATGCCTAAATCTAGTCCAAAAGTTGTACACTTCAAGTTTGTCTAATACTATCTTTTCGCATATTAAACAAGTAAATTAAAGAAATCATATTACTTTTCATTAAACTATGATAAATTATTCGAAACTGTTCCTTACTGAAAGTAATCAAATAGCATAATGCAGCATTTAGAGTTTTGGACTTGAATCTTAACTATTGAGTCCGCGACGCAATAAAATACCAAGTTCCCTAAAATAAAAAATCCCGCAGAAAAACTTCCCATTTTTGCTACTGACTTTATGAATTACTTTAAATGAGTATACAACCTTGTAAGATTAAAAATATAGGTAAATGTAACATTGTTTCCCTAGTATTTATACAGTAAAATATTGAGATCTTTTTAAGGGGTGTTAGGCAACATATTAACTATGTAGCTCTCGATTTTTTTTATATTTTAATTTGTTGTACTGTTATGAATTTTCGAAGTGGGCATTTTTCAATGACAAAATTTTGTTGTCTGTATGAAGCAGCCATTTCTTCATTCTTTAAAATTATTCAAAATTTGTACGTTACACTGTAGATAGTTTTATACCGATTACACTGTCCAAATTTAGTTAACCGGATGAATGTTGTATAACTTCTTCACTTTATCACTTTAAATATGAACTAATATATGAAAATAAAGTTAAAATGTTGCCTAGCGTCCCTCACAAAGGATCGTAATATTTTGCTGAATAATAATTTACGAAAACAATTGTAAATTTACCTACTTTTTAAGCGTACAAGGTTATGTACCTCCTTAAAGAATATAATTATCCGTACAAAGATCCACAGTCTACTGGTAATTATAGGAAGCTTGAAGTATTTAAAGTAACGCATTTCTTTAGATGGGCAATCATGACAGGAACCGTGTCGCGACTCGTTACCCTGGCAGGCCAGATCAGATGACGATGCTGGCTATGATCTTGCCTGGTGTGGTGGTAACTTATTACGGCGAAGAAATCGGCATGGTGGATGGTACAACAATAATTAGCGATTTCCGTGACGGATGCCGTACACCATTTCAGTGGAACGATTCTACCAGTGCAGGTGAGCAAACTTAACTTTCATGAATTTTTAGTATTGATATGCGACAACTTTCGAACCTGTGAATTGCAATTATAGCGTTTGTTACATATAGAGTAAATAAAACTCCGTCTGTTTATTCTTCAAGTAATAGGGGAGCGTAATCTCGACCAACTGGATAGTAACCTAGGGACAGAATCATGATTCACTCGCGACCGTTAAGATTTCTTTATAAAGAAATTCTAATGAAACCCCACCAAGTTTTGGGAATATACAGGGTGTAACAAAAATGTTGTCCGACACGGAAATGGGGCACTCGGGTAGTGAATTGGAACAAGTTTTTCCTTAGCAACACTGTAATCTGAGGCTTCGTTACCGAGATATTAACGAAAAACCCCGACCAATCAGAGCGCGAGTTTGCCAGCCGATTTCCCGCGGTAACGCTGCCTACCAGTCGCAGCGCGTAACTACCGCTAGCGCGGGAACTCAGCTGGCAAATTTTTATAAAGAGTGTCGTTAAATCATTATTCGAGGTGATCAAGTTAGCTGAGACACCCTGTATATACAGTTATTCCTCGATGAATATGACATGAACAATGGCGGGAGGGGGGTCCCCTTCTGGAACCAATCAAAACAGAGTAAACAGAGGTTCCGAGTCGGGCAAAAAACAAATTTATGAGGGGCTGAAATCCTTTCCGCCTTGCCATGAATGCTTCGAAGCGGACCCGAGTTTGTCACACTCATCGAGACATTACTGTATATACTATCTGTACGCTAGAGTCAGAGTGTATCTTAATGACTTATCACACTTCAAACTTTAGAGGAGAGAAAATCAAAGGTGCAAAAGCCTTGTAATTTTGGAATCGCTACCTACAAACTATTGAATGAACTTACATAAGACACATCTCGACATGTAGAAATGGTGAACATTGCATTAAGTCTCTTATGTGACGGATTTTACACTAGTGTTGTTAAAATGAGCCTCGAGTCTTGAGCTTTAACAGCTCGAGTCGCGGTTCAAACCCTAAAGACTCGAACCCTCAAGGTTCGAAGCTTGAGTCGTGAAAGCTCGAGTCTTTAACGCTCGAGCCTTTAAGCTTCAAGGCTCGAGTCGTATAAATTGTATGTAGTGAAGTAATGTACAGACCTTGAGTTCTCGAAGCCTTAAAACTTAACCTAAAAGTCTTCAGTTTTTAACTCTAATATTACACGAATCTCAAGCTTCTAAAGCTTCAAGGGGGAATAATCCAAAAACGTCCAGAAAAGCGTGGTTTTTGTAAATTAGTTCTGCAACACCCAAACCTCATTAAACTATTACTAATAGGGTGATCAAATATATATTTTGGACAATACGTTAAATTTTCTTTTATTACAAAATACGTATGTATACTTGAGCAAGATATACGAGTCATAAGACGTTACGCGTCGAACAAAATAGTTTCTCAATTTGTTCACGGTTCGTTGATCAGAGGCAAAGTTAGGACATTTTTTTCGTTATTCACTTGAATTTCGACTTAATATTTTAGTAGAATATTTTCGAAAAATTATACTTTCAAAGTATATATAAAAAACTTAATTTTTTCCAATCGTCACTGTCTTATTCCACATTAAGTCTGAAGCTTTAAGGCTCAACCCTCTAGAACCCTTAAGTGTGAAATAATGGAATTAACACTAAATCTCTAATATTATACTTTATACAGTTTTTAAAAAATACAGCCATGACTGCAAACACATGAGAGATTGATACCAAGAAAGGGAAATGAAAAATGAAACAAAATAACCATTGAATAGTAGACGAAATGAAACATTGCAAAAAATTTGTCTATAATGTTCAAAATATAGTATTATCGACTGAAAAATACTCTTACGTCGCGGGAGTCATAGATGACCGGCAACAAGATTAATGTACTACGCATGATAAGTTTGCACAATACATAAAATCATATTGTGTAATATATTATTATATGATTCTAATGGGCAATCACTCTTTGGCGCTGAAGACAAAACCAGCAGAAACACGCTCGGCAGTGAACGTGTTAGCCTCGAGCTTCGAGACCCGAGCCTTGAAGCTCGAGTTGCGAACTTCGACGATTCGAGCCCTGAAGCTCGAGCCTCGAGCCGCGAGCTTTATATGATTTTAGCCTTAAAGATTGAGTCTTTAAGACTAAGCTTTGTAGCTTCAAGGACTCGAGCTTTATACAACACTACTTTACACTGTTTGACTCGGTACAAAATATGGACTTACGCCATATTCACAATAGCGGTCAAAGGAACGGACAGATCACGATCAGATTAAATTTAGACTATACATATTACATTCATTGGATTACGTGTGAGTCATAAAAACCGCTATCGGATGTGATGTGATCTGACCGTAATGTGACCGTTATCATGACTCTGGCTTTAATATCCCTTTTGCACTCGTATCTATATTGAAAGTTAAACGGCTTAGAACAAAATAATATTTGTCATCGGAAAGTGTGAAAAATTTGATATGGGAAATATGTAAAATGTCACTTTTTCTAAAAAAGTGGACTTAATACATTCTGGTTCTGCGGTCCAGACACATATTATATATATATTTTAAATAATGAGTTGTATATATTTTATTGAATACTATTAGTATGTGGAGTCTTTTTTACAAGATTAATTTCTGTGACGACAGCAATTACTAAAATTGTTATATTAGATTTCCTATAGCCTGTGACACAAAAATTTCAAGGTTGAAAGAAATTTGTTTTTAGTTACATTATGTGTATTAACATTATTACCCTTTTATTCCTAAATTTTTTAAAAATTACCGAAGAAATATTATGTTATATTTTTGTCTACGTTAGATGATATACATATAAATGATTTACAAGAACATTTTCAAGTCTTCTAATGCAATTTTTCATTCGTTGTACTTCACGTTCGTTCACTGTACATAGCAAAACCCAAATTTTCTTACCTTTGGTCAATAAACCCCCTTGAAATATTTGAACGAAATTAGAAATGTGGAAGTTTCTATTGTAGTTGTAACAATGCTCAACTCTTGAATTCTATCAAGTGAATGAGATAAAGGGCCAATAATGTCTTATTTCACCGATGAGCTTTTACATTCACATTCAAATTTGTGCCATACCATCTATACAAGACTTAAAGAAACTATTATATACTCATTGATATAAAAAAGTACATGATTCTAATATTTTAGTTCGCTATTTAGAATACGTAGCCATGTGGCAACAGTGGAAACGAAGAGGTTATCACATCACGCAAGAAAGTAGAAGGAATCACACCTAACTATTGTTAATGACATTTCTGTCTATAGGCTTCAGTAGCAGTAGCAAACCATGGCTGCCGGTTAATCCTGATTATAAAACATTGAACCTGGACAAACAAACGACGGATAATGTCTCCCACTACAATTTGTACAAGAAATTAATCAAATTGCGCAACTCATTGGTTGCGCTGAAAAATGGTGATGTCCAGACACATGTGCTAAACAACGAAGTGTTCATCGTCACTCGAAACACGGAGGACGAGTCAGTGGCGCTTTTGATAAACTTCTCCTCGAACTCGACCGTGATCGATCTGACGCAAGTGTTGAAAGGGAAGAAGGCCGAAGTGAAGCTCAGTGACGTGAAGTCGAATCTGACACTAAAGTAAGTATATCGAATCGACTAATTACTTATATTAAGGGGTCATGCTCAGTGAGGAAGCCGAAAAAAGAGTGTTCTTTGGGAATTCTTTTCTCGAAAACTATAAGACCTTTTTCAAAAAATTTGTTCGTGTTTCAAAGATTGCAGTTTATAGATTGTAAGGTAATTTTTTTATTTAAAAATATTCATTATTAAATAAATGGTGAGCGATCTCCCGGATGTCTCTTCACAAAAAGTGGTCTGCCGTGATCACTGTAACTTCGTAACGGTTCATTTCAAATTAAAAATTCAGTAAGATTTGTGTAATGGAAGAACCAATCTTGTCCTTGAACGTGGGGTTTTTCGAAATATTGATTAGAAACAAAATAGCGGACGTGTTCCTGAAAAGGTGCGATTTTCACCTAAAAAATCACTCGTTTTTCGTCAGTTAAAAAAAAAGTATGGAACGAACAAAAGAATCGTTCGTTCAAGGACAAGTTCTTCTGATTTAAAATAAGGTGCAAAAGGCTTGATATAAATCGACACAGTAGTTTTCGAGAAATATTGATCACCGATTTGAAAAATGTAGTTTCGAGAAAAACGCGTTTAAAGTTTCAAGTCAAGCTTACACTTATATAAAATGTTCATCTTTTAACGCCTGTAACTCTGTCAGTTTTAATTGGATTACCTTGGAACTTGCACAGACTATTCCCGAGATGTTGTACTTAAAGAAAATGTAGAAAATGAAAAATCGATTTTTTCAATATTTCTGACTGAACATGACCCCTTTAATACAATAATTAATTCCCCGGCACAACTGAATTAAACGGAATTAATAAAGCAGAAATTGTATAGTGACGGGGAACCAGTATTTCATGCAGCAAATTGTCACGCTAAGTAAAACCGCAACGACCGAATATAATTAAATCGGAATTAATTAAACAAAGACGAAACTGATTAGAGGAAGAGAGAGAGAGAGAGAGAGAGAGAGAGAGAGAGAGAGAGAGAGAGAGAGAGAGAGAGAGAGGGAGAGTCGGACAAATTGATCCGTGTGTTAGTAATTTGCACATGTAAACCACAAAGAACTTTCTGTGCATTTTTGAACGACGCGATGTAATGTCAGCTCTCAGAATATGTCCATATTTCACGGTTTTATTTAGGTCGGTTCCTCTATTTGCTTACTGGTTTGTTTGGATGGATTCTTATATTGACAGACAACCACAACCATATGGGTATCTAAGAAAAGTTAACAAGCAAAGGACCCCAACTGTCCGATTTCGATTTTAACAGGGTTTTGTGAGATGATAGACACTTGACAAGTTTAAAGATATTAACAGTGTTAGTTACGAACCTTCGAGATATATTATGAATACAAATCAAAATTATCAGAGTTGCGTTGGCAAAGTAAAACAGAAAAGTTATATTTCGGTGAATGAGAATCGATCCCAGGACCTCTGATTTATCAGTCAAACAAAATTATACTTCGACAAGTTTGACTTTTATTCATAATTAGACATAAATAATCAAAGTTGCGTACCTTTACAATTATCGAGTGTCTATACCTAATAGTGCACATACATATATCATTAGGAACTTGTATACTATCATCTTACAAATCCCGTCAAAATCGAAGTCGGACAGTTGGGGTTTTCTCCTTGTAAGTAAGCAGAAATCCAATTGAGTTGATCCCCGTTGCACCACCCCAGGATTTTTATATCCTCAGAAAATTCCAACTATATGGGTATCTATGGATAGGGGGTAGTGAGTAGAAAAAAAAGCATCATCTACTGCAGAAATCTGACATTACTTTTTGACCAACCCAATTGACATTTTACAGACGTAACTAGTTTCAGGGTGAAGAAAAATTAATCTAAATTAGTTATTCGAACGGTAAATGGACAGTTTATAATGTCTCTGAAATAAATTCTGTGTGTCCGTGTGGATTCAAGCGTAATACTTTGGCGCGATTGGTAGATCCATCAGCGGGATGTTAGGAAATGGATTTTGGCTGAACGCTTTACCGATGATTCATTTGACTCATCAACGTGTGAATAGATAATCATTTTTAACGATGATATAATATTCATTTTTCAGCACGGCGGTGACGATGAACGCTTTTAACGTTCCTGCAAAAGGATCAGTCGTTTTAATCGCACAACCAAGCGGCGCGTCAAGTATAGCCGGCATCTCCCTCACGTCTGTTTTGCTGATGGCGTTCGTTCCGTTGTTCAGGCCATAGACGGACGGAACTTCCTGTGTTCGTGTATCTTTCACGGGTGTCGATATCTGGTACAGTAGAAACTCGATTATCAGAAACTCCTCAATACGGATTTTTGTAACTCAGAATCCTGTGGAAAAAGGTTCGACTATTTTTATTGATACACGAAGTTGTAGATGAGACAATGGATTTGTCTCCCTGTTAGTTCGGATAATAGCGGTACCACTGTAGGGTTGACGAACGAATTAATAATGAAAACGATTAATAATGATTAACAATTAATAACGTGCTATTGTGGTAGGTGCTGGGAAAAGGGTGAGGTAAAACTAACGATCAGAATGCTCGTTTCTACCGTCATGTAACAAATATAGACTGAATTTATGTGTTGATCCGGCTCGCCACAGTCTATGTATTCCCATCGAAACAGAGGATCAAAATTTACGCCGAGTGTAGTATACTAAATAACGATAAGTAGACCGCAAAAATTCGTGAAAATGTACATTTCTACAGTTAAATTTTCTAAAACGACCGTTAAAGCGAAATGCATCTTTCTGATTAGAGTTTGAAAGAGGATTTAAAGTGTCGTGGACATCCTATTACGTCAAGTATTTTATTTATACGTTGCACGTAACGTATATGTATAACTATTGTACAGAATTCGCAGTTTAATCATAAGTGTGCAATAAAAATAATCTGGCGGAGTAATCGAAAGTATAAAAAGATTATGGAATGATTGCTTCGCTCGAAGTGTAATATAAGAAGCGAAGATTGATCGGTAATCACGTTATTTACGTGATTATCTTTGTAGCGCCGATCGACTTTTTCTTTAATGATAAGCTTAGCAGAAAATCTAATACGATAACCTATGTCTATACTTATTTATTATGAAATTTATGTACAGAGATAATGAGTTACAATACGAAATGCAAATACACATTTGAGTTCTTTCATCAGCCTTCATCCGGATCCTTAAAAATTGTAGATTGTAAGTAATGAAACCATAATTAATATTGCGCTACTGGCGAAAAGTATTATCTTATTTGTGCACTAGTGAAAGATTGTCGAAAATTAATAAAGTTATGGTACATTGAATTTCGACAACCCTTCACGAATGCACAATTGAGGCAATACTTTTTGTCAGTAGTGTATCACTAATCATAAGGAATGATATCCATAAAGTAAAATTCTATGGTAATTCTATGATGTGAGAATTTAAGGGGTCATGCTCAGTCAGAAATATTCAAAAAATCGATTTTTCATTTTCTACATTTTCTTTAAGTACAACATCTCGGGAATAGTCTGTGCAAGTTTCAAGGTAATCAGATTAAAACTGACAGAGTTACAGGCGTTAAAAAATGAACATTTTATATAAGTGTAAGCTTGACTTGAAACTTTAAACGCGTTTTTCTCGAAACTACATTTTTCAAGTTGGTGATCAATATTTCTCGAAAACTACTGTGTCGATTTACATGAAGCCTTTAGCGCCTTATTTCAAATCAGAAAAACTTGTCCTTGAACGAAGGAGTTTTTTTTTCGTTCCATACTTTTTTATTAATTGACCAAAAACGAATGATTTTTAGGTGAAAATTGCACTTTTTCAGGGAAATGTCCGCTATTTTGTTCCTAATCAATATTTCGAAAAACCCCACGTTCAAGGACAAGATTGGTTCTTCCATTACATAAATCTTACTGAATTTTTAATTTGAAATGAACCGTTACGAAGTTACAGTGATCACGGCAAACCACTTTTTGTGAAGATACATCCGGGAGATCGCTCACCATTTATTTACTAATAAATATTATTAAATAAAAAAATTACCTTATAATCTAGAAACTGCAATCTTTGAAACACAAACACATTTTTTGAACAAGGTCTTATAGTTTTTGAGAAAAAAATTCCTCAAGAACACTCTTTTTTCGATGTCCTGACTGAGCATTACCCCTTAATACGGAACACTCTGGTAATTATAATAAATTGAAAAGTTGCTATTGACTATTGGACATTAAGATTAGGCGATAGTTGGACGTTAAATAGAAAAACTTACGAAATTCCAGTAAATTCGTTGTTACTTCCATTACAAGAAAACAAATATCCATGGATTATCTTTGAATGGCTGTATCTCTAAGGAATCGTATTATTCTACGCGTCAAGTGGATTGTTCGGACTTATCTTTCAAATGTCATGTCGCATCAAACACGAAATTAATCACCATAGCCTGGGATTTTCGGGTAATTGCCAAGTGAATAGATTCTGTTGTACAACAAACGGACTGTCAGCCACAGACGCGTTAACTGCTGCGAACGATAATAACGCTCCATGGTATGAGAAAATATGTCATTTTATCTTGGATAAAATAGTTGGAGAAAATTAATATTACATTTGAGATAATTAGGCATCAGGCATTTGTTAAATCAGATTACTAAAATTGTTATAACTGTAGAAAGGTTGTTAAAGAGTTTAACTACATTTCATAAAGTTATCCGGTGTCAAGAACTAGAATTGTAAAAAAATTACATCAACGGTACATTGATGTAATTTTGTATAGAGTTGTGAGCAGTAAGTAACATGTACGTTAAACCGATTGAAATTTCACAAATATTCCAAAAGCAATTTTGCCACAACACTGGTGGCTTCCCTTTCACGAGCCGATGGTTGAACGAAGCGAGATCAAGAGAAGATTACATGCCCGAGTATAGAGTGGTACAACACTAATGTAACGTGTTTTTCTTTTATTTTCAGTTCTTTGTAAATGAAACTTTCATTAACATTATTCGTGAGATTTTTCTGATTTACGCGATACCAAACACGATATAATTTGGAACATATTATTTACTTATGTAGAAGGTGTTAAAAATTCATATTCTTTTATTATCGCTTCTGATAAGGTACAAAAATAAAAAAATGTTGGAGCCTTTGTTTATTCTGTACAAAAGTTTCTGAAAGATTTAAAAATGTACAATATTGAATGTCGGAAAGAAAAGAAATAAACGCATACGTACATATATTGCTACGGGAAATTGAATAGAAGAAATGGAGTTTTGGTCAGAGAGCAATTGTAGCCGTTATGTATTGAGTACAGAAAAGTATAGGAATCGAGAAAACCTATTTCTAAAGATATGTGTACAGGGTGTTTGAAAATTCACTATCGCGGCTACCATAGCGTTATTATACACTTCTGGATGGGCGGAGATCTGCAAAAGAAAGACACCGCAAAATTCATCTTGACCGTCAAATTCAAGGTCAAACTTTTTTATTATTGTATCGTATTTTACCCGTCACGAGGATAAAACTTCAGAAAGGACTATGGGTCGCAACTCAACAGTTTTCATGGAAAATTGTGTTAACGTTGCATTAGCATTCGGTTTCGCGTTATTTATAATTTACTTATATATTTCAGTCAAATGCAGGGTAAACAGCATCTATTGTCGCACATAGATACCCCAGATATACCATTATATGTCCCATACCTTCAATTCTGTGTTGCTTGCTATAAAACGTTCACAGTTCGTCGTCCCATGCATGAATAGGTCAGCACTCTTTCGACAACGTCAGCTGTCTCATATAGTACAGTCGAAATAACTACGCGCAATGGTCACGTGGTTAACGGTAAAGCGATGCTGCGTACGGCTGGTAAGTGCCTGTCGGGACGACATAGAGGCCAGAAGAGTAAGCCGATTGGGCCAATGCCAAAAATCTGTGAGTCCCAATTTTGTGACCGGTTCAATGAGGTTGGGTTATTGCGCCGCGACCAATGAAACGCGCATGACTTCTGTCTGCTAACTTACCAGCTGCTATCCGTAATGTAACACGCCAGCGGCTTCCGTTTCTTCCGAGCCTACGAGTGAACGTGAGAGCCCAAAAAAAAATAAATGCTCGCGTATCGGTGAAACAAAAGTAATGCAACGATGAAACTTATTTATTTTTGATTCTCTGTTAACCCTTTGACTGCAGATCCAACAGTATATATTTGTATCAGTATATCATTACATATATTTATTTTATAGTGTATTCTTAAAAGAGAGTATGTTGCGCGTTTATGCGAATGTCGTTTACGCTGGTGGAAGTGTGACGCACTGCGCTACTGACTCTCGTCCAGTGATGGCCGCGCAAACATAGCTCAGTATATTCTGATGACTTCGAGCTAGAGCGCGCCACAGTCAAAGGGTTAATGAAAATTGTATTATCAGATTGGTGAGATTTTTCTGAATAAAATGAGACCAAACACGACGAAATTGGATCATATTTACTTATCCAAGGAGTGTTAATAACTCGTCTCATTTAATTATCACTTCCGATAAATTACAAAAACAGGGTTTTAGACACACCTGAAATAGTAACAGTTTAGTACAATGACGGCCGTGCTGGTTTATCGTCTATCGTTGGTCGGCTGCGGTCAACAAAGTTATCAAACTAATATTTAAAAAATAGATTTTCTATAATTGTCAGGTCACGTTATTGAGATTACTTCTAATAAATTGACAAAATTTTCCTGATAAAAATGAGTCCAAACACGACCTTAATCGGATTGTCTTAAGTTGTCAATCAATACATTCTAAACACATTGTAAATCAAATAGCTTTAACATATTTTAGTTTTATTATACCCAACAAGGTTTAAGAATTAGAAACGCTTGATACTGCATGATCAGAAGTACAAGAATGATGGCATTATAGAATGTGGCGAATGAAGAAATCAAGATATTATGTATATCACTGTTACGGCGCGAAAACGAATTTCGATGTACCGTTATTTATTGTTAAAAAAATCTGTAGCCTACATAGCCATTTAATGTTTCCTCGCAGATCTGCGAGTTTTGGTTTTGGAAGGAAACTACGAATGTGTCTTTGAAATGTATAATACACATACATACATACCTTCATTATTTTATAACGAATTATATGACCAGTTAAATAATATTGCGAATAACTCATGTGTCCACGTATCTGTTACTGCATATTAAAATTATGGATGTATGTATATCATTCTGCATATAAACACACATATTCTAATACCCGACTTAGAAATATGAATATAGGTTGATTATGTATAACTAAAAAGAGTCCAATTTCTGTCATGTTTGGACTCATTTTCTTCACAAAAATCCCATCAATTTATTAAACGTAGGCATTTTTCCCTATCACCAATTGCAACCAAGTTATTCAGGTGGCCGGTTTAAGTGCCTCACCCTGTATATTTGTTTCTTTTTTAGTTTGATAGGTCTTTTAATATCATTCAGTTTTTCCACTAACAGCTTTTTCCTATATCTTGTGGTTAACAGAATATATTGAAAAAATAAAAAATTCGGTAGACTAAGGGATGATTTCATCATATTAGAATGAATTTCAGCTGAAAAAAAAATTGTTTCTTGCAAAAATTTGATGCCCTCTACAATCCCACAAAGTTTCATGAATATCGGGACCTGCGGGTGGAGAAATCTTCCTCGTGAGTGAAAGTTTTCCAACATACAGTACGTTATGTTATACATATACAAAGTTATATGTATTAGGTCATAACATATGAAA